AAGTAGAGATTTTGGGGCTATAATGTATCTATTTTATAAACCAACTTTAGTAGTATTTTTAAATAAAATAATCTGTTTCATCGATATTTTTCTAAAATGTTTGAAACCTTAAAAGTATTTATATGAATTTTATATTCACAATGGATTAATATTTTTATTTTAATCCTAAATATCTAAATCCACCTATAGATCTCTTTGTTTGGAACTTTTATTTGGTCCGGTGTAAGGATGTAGAGGAACATCCGGTTGTAGGCAAAATTCCGCCTATACCGAGGTGTACCGAGTTTTTTTGGAAAAACTCGGTACACCTCGGTATAGGCGGGATTTTGCCTACGACCGGATGTTCCTCTGCATCCGGTCGGAGGACGTAATAATTGTTCATCGCTTGACATTTTGTTCTTCCCATCTATGCAACAGTGAGGATTTAGGAAATTTAAGAGAGAAAAGAGAGGAGACAGCGAAAGAAACCTAGGATTTGGAGGTCACGAAGCTATTTTTATCAGCCGGTCTAAATGAAAATTTTGTTTGTTTCGCTGTAAAGAATAATTACTCAATCTTTGATTTCAATAATTTTATATTTTTAGTATTTTTCAGATCAAATTAATACATTTGTTATCAAATAATAAGGATAAATTCATATTGGTAAAATTTTCACTGTATAATTTTTTATATGTGATAGATCTCATCAATATAAGCATTTTGATATGAATATATTGAATTTTTATCAGTTAAATTGAAAGATGTAATTTTTTGAAGTAAATGCATAGTATACAAATTTAATAGATTTTTTTTTGCATTTATAGATTTCTTCTTTTTGTGCATAATATTATCTTACATTATATATAAAAAAGATAACATTTGCATGTAATCAAGGAAGATTGACTGTTAATACTATAATGAATATTTATTGGCTCTTAAAATATAATACATTGCGTAAGAGGGTAGGCTTACGAACTTTCATTTAAATAAAAGGTTGGTGGTATAATCCTAGTTATAGCATGTAACTGATTAACTAAATTATGTTGATGGATAAAGGGTGACGACTCTTAAATAATTATTGAAAGACACACATGAAAATTGACAGATTGAGGGGCTATGATCGAAATTAGATATATCGAAGAAAATATAACATTAAAACTAAATGTCAAACCTTAATTTTCATATTTATACTCATGATGACATTTATCTCATATTACATTGAACTGATTAATAGTATATTAAATTGATTCATATATTGATAGCTCATAATAATGTTAACATTGATACAACATAGCATAGCATATTAAATTTTTGATTGGGTGGTGCTACTATTTATCATGTGTCTTATAGTTTGATAGATCTCTTTTAATTTTACTGAGCATATATATTGATTTTATTATTAGTTTTTGATATTTTTATTACACATATTAAGCGATGATTGATATTAGTTAGAATTGAACATACAAATTGATTCTTTTATATTACATTGCAAGCAATGATAGAGTTTTAATTTCTATAGAGTTGTTTACCAAATTATATGTGGTTTAAATGATTTTAAATCAGAAAAGGGGTCAGGAAAATTTTGAGTGAGATTGATAGAGATTCTCAAGTTTTATTTAGATTTTATTCTGATTTTTTTCTTTTCCTTTGTAATTAGGAGCTTTGTGATGGATTAATGATTGTACTGATCTCTTGACTATTTTATATTAATTTTGAAAGAATAAATAAATTCACCACAGGAAAACAACTCATTTCTGGTGGAAGTAAATTAGTCACAAATTACGACGAATTTTCGATAGAAAATTTTCAATGAATTTCTGACATAATTTTTTATTGGTTTTCCGACTGGTTTTTTCCGAAGGAATTTTCGGTGGATTTCTGACGAAAATTAAAAAATTAAGTTATAGTTAAATAACTTATTATTAAATTAAATTATTTAAATTAAATATTTTTATTTTAAAATATAATTAAATTATTGAATTTACTAACTTAAACTATTGAATTTAATAACTTAAATTATAATAAAATAAATTATAATTTAATTATTTAATAACAAAAATTTAAATGATTTAAATTTAAACTTAAATTATAATAAAACTTAAAATTATTATTATTTTTAAATTAAGTTAAATAATTTAAAATTTTATCATTAAATTAAATTAACTAATTTAATAATTCATTGTTCAATTAAATTATATTTTTTATCTTTTAAAAAAACTTTACTTTTAAAATAATTATTACTTTTAATATTAATAAGTAATTAGTTAAATAAAAAAAAAAGTATCAGATTTAACAGTTTTGGTCTAATGGCTAGATGGTAGATGGCGCGAAAGCTTCTGCGCATGGAGAGGGGGGGCAGGGTTTGAACCCCTCCGGAGGTAGTTCACGCGGGCTGGGGCGGCTGAGCTAGGTTGGAGCGCAAATGGGAGCAACAGGCGGCCGGTTGGGTACATTTGAAAATTTTTTATTTATTTTTCTTGACATTCCGGCGCATAAAAAATCCGTCGGAAATATTTTTCAGTGGAAAATCAGTCGGAAATATGCCTGAAATGTTTCTGGCAAATTATTTGATGCCGGAAGGCCTTTTTCGACGTGCGTGTAACCGGAGAAAATATTTCCGCCGAAAATGCAAATTTTTGATGGATTTTGGCCATATTCCAACTAAAATGGTTACCATAAAATTCCGTTTTTCTTATAGTGATTGTAATATTTTGAGGTATGTAATTGTTAGTTGATTTTATTGATTCTTATTTATATTGATGATTTATAAAAATTGTAGTTATTTTTAAACTGAGAAATAGATAATTCTTTCAAATTTGATTTTTGCGCATTACAAAAGCAAAGCCTTATTTCTACATAAAGGGGGATAACTTCAATCTTGACTAGAAATTGAATAGAATTATTAGTTATGTGAGGAATCTGATTGTGTTGATCAATCGTGTTGGATTGTTTCCATGAATTTCAACTCAGTTTGTCATGTTCGCAAGGGGTGCGGGGGTCCTCCTCCTGCTTAGGTTTGGGTTCTTTGCATATGAAAAATTTTATTTTCGTACAAAGCCATATGTTGTGTACATGAATGACATGATATTATATTATTTCCTGAATATTTTCCTGTGTAATCGACATAGCAGAGCACTGTAGAACTATATTCTCAATGTCGCAACATTGTAAATAGAACCAAAAGATAGAGGTTGAGCATCACAACGTTCCAAACTTGTACCACAACGCTAGAAAGAGGGCTAAATAGTTTTTCTTTCTTGTTTTTCTCAAGGGTGGTGTTCCTTAGTGATATTTATTTATATTGTATCTATTTGTTTGTTTTAAGTGTAGAATGGTGCATGAGTGTTGAGAAAGTAAGGAAAGAGCAAGTGAGAAGAGATATATATACTTATTTCTCCCAATTTTCATAATGGATTTTTTGTGTGGTATGGCTCCGTGATTTTTTTCCCCTGCTTTGACTTTTTTCACGTTAATATTTAGTGTCTTTTTATTTCTGGTACATTTTTTTTTTTATTTTTTTTCATTTCGATTTACTTCCTTCCATCCCCAACAAGAACTTGAATATATGAAGAATGTATTTTTCCAACCACCATCGTATAATGACTATCTGACTATTGTCTCAATCTCACGCTAACTTTATTATGAATTAAAAATGTTGATGCATGACATTGTGTATAAGCCATATGCATGCCATTAAAATCAATGTTGATGGTCATCAATTTTATACCCATCGTTGTAAATAATGTTGAAGCACGCCATCACCTACAGGACTAATAAAAGCTATCCAAACACTCCATTGCCTATATCACTTATTTTTGCTCACAATGTTCATGCATCATGCATGCCATTATCAATAAGGCCAATGTGCATTGTAGATTCTAACTTCAATTTTCGACATCAATATGGGTTATTATACTAAATTTCTTGATATGCAATAGCCTTTCCTCAAAGTAGAACTATCAAACATACTAAAAAAGTTCTCTTGAAAGCAATTCCAATGCCGCACATTTTTTACAATTTTAACAATATAATCCACCATTTATAGTTCATATCTCTATATTATATAAACACCTTTTTTTAATTACTTGGAACGAGCTCATTTATAACCGACTACATGCTATAATAGAATTATTTCAATAAAATTAGATCATCTCATGAATTTTTAGATGTGTTTAGGTTTTTTCGTTAGTAAGCATAGGACGGTTTCTACTCGATGCATCTACGAGGTCATCGCAATGCATAATATTGCCAAATTAAAAATAAAAATATATCAACGCCACGGGAGAGCTTCATTAAGGTTATTAATAAATAAGAAAAATACTTACCAAACTTAAAAAAAAAAAACTCTTGAACTTTTTTCCTACACATGCAAATTTATATCCATAAAATTATATAAAATTGCTGCTACATTGGATTAATTATTCTGTGCGGATGCCGAAAATCGTCCGGAGATCAATCAAAATGTATCATATCAACCCTTTGCTAGATACCACAACTCTTACTGCGTGATACCGCTGATGTGATATATTCTAATTGATCTGCGGATTATAAATAATTTCTTCTACCATTGGGTGTAGATAGAAAATTTCGGCATTTCTCAGTTGGGGTAACATTTTTTAATAAGTAAATAAACAAACCGTGTTGTATTCGTCGTGGTGATTGGTGAACAAGTTGGCTACAGTTGGCACGTGCCGCCACACCAGCTGTCACTCTTATCCTAATAGCTCCTCCGAGTCAGGATGCGTTTCCCTCCTCCATTTTCCGTTTCCCTCTCGCTCCCAGTTACATTCAACGATTTTCATACCCGTGCAGTCTGGCTTCTCTCGCACACTACGCAGTAGTCAAACTTTATATTCCCAGATTACCCTGACCAAAAACCCAGTCAAACGCGACGACTCTCTCGAATTAGTCATGCACAACTAAAGCCTATTTTTGTCTTTTCAAATAAGAAAAAAAGGAATGATGACCGCGTTCCTTTAAACTCTCACCGACCTATCTTCGCTTCATGGCGGTCAATCGCATCCCTATATATATATAACAGAACATTGCAGCACCCTTCATCAAAACTTACAGAGAAATCAATGGAGTCTTCCTCTATTCTTCTTCTGTTCTTCCTCTCCTCATTCTTCTTTCAGAGCTCACTTAGTGCGAGAAAGCTCACCGCTTTGGTCGATAAGCAGCCACTCACCATCACCTACCACAGGGGAACCCTTCTCTCCGGTCCAATCTCTCTCAACCTCATCTGGTACGGTAACTTCACCGCCTCCCAGCGAGCTGTCATTTCCGACTTCGTCGCCTCCCTTTCCGGCGATGACCCGAACCAACAGAAACAACCTTCCGTATCATCTTGGTGGAAGATGACTGCCAAATACTACTTCAATTCCAAAGTTTCACAGCCTCAGCTCACTGTCGGTGAACAGATCCTCGAAGAGAGCTACTCGCTCGGGAAATCGCTAAAGAACGTGGACCTCGCCGCGCTGGCTGCGAAGGGGGTTAAGCGGCCGGCAATAAACGTAGTGCTGACCGCTACCGACGTGGCGGTTGAGGGGTTTTGTATGAGCCGCTGCGCGACTCACGCATCGTCCACTCGGTCTAGCTCGGGCCGATTCGCGTACATCTGGGTTGGCAACTCAGCCGCCCAGTGCCCGGGGCTGTGCGCCTGGCCCTTCCACCAGCCAGTCTACGGCCCGCAGAACCCGCCTTTATTGGCGCCTAACGGCGACGTCGGCGTTGACGGCATGGTGATGAACCTTGCCAGCATGGTTGCCGGCGCCGTTACCAATCCGTTTGGTGACGGGTTCTTTATGGGTCCGGCGACGGCGCCGCTTGAGGCGGCGACGGCGTGCCCAGGAGTGTACGGTAAGGGGGCTTACCCGGGCTACGCCGGCGAGCTTTTGGTGGACCCGACTACAGGAGCCAGCTACAACGCGAATGGGGCCCACGGGAGAGAGTATTTGCTTCCGGGTATCTTTGACCCGTCAACTGCTTCGTGTGCTACGTTGGTGTAGGCCGTAGGGGATCTAGTTGTGGGTCAAGTGGGAAGAAAGGTTTGAGTGTGGTGACGTGGCGTTGTTTTAGATGATGTGGTGAAGCATATATAATATGTAAATAATGAAAGATAAGGTGAAAGTTTTGAGAGGCTTTATGTCATTGTTGATGTGAAACCTTGTCGTTCTCCTTCGTTGTTTGTGAATTGTATTACTCCTTAATAGTAACAAGCGATTTGTTGCATGCACTTGAAAGATCATCACATTCATTGAACAAGTCTTATAATTTTTTGAATGAGTATAAAATAAATACATATAATTATTTTTTCGCACAAAATAAAAAAATGCAATGCCTAGTCCAACAATGATGTCTGCAGCGGATGGTGACAGCAGCGGTGGCAGTTTGTAACGATAGCAGGGGGAGGCTTGTCAGTGGTAATGATGGTAAGCGGTGTATTGTGATTGACCACAGCAGGTGACAATGAAAATGAATTTATAGTAAATTTAAGAATTGGTATAATAATTTCTAAATACGTCAAATATATACAAAATATATTAATAAGAAGAAAGCAAATCTTAATACAAAAAATATTGATAATGTTATTGGAAGAGAATTGATGCCTAGAAACTTAGCTAACCAAATAAACTCATTTATTTGGGCACTGATGTGGAAGTTCATATGAAAATATTTTTTGAGAACTTAACAAGCAAATTATAAGACCTTAGGCCATAAAAGATTTTACTAACCAACATTTCATTAATATCATGAGGAGAGTAATCAAATTTGCCTAAACCAATTAAGCCCAATGAGATCATACTATGTTCTTGTGTGTAGATGAATTTTTGGGTGAATTAATTTGGTAAATGTGCATGTTTGACCACTAAGAAATTCTAATATGTAATGTTGTGATTTCAATTATTTTGATCTCTATATCGATCTAAAACACCCTATGTAAGATGCTATTTAGCTCGAAGTGTTCTAACTAGGGTTGCGAAATTTACCCAAAATACTCAATGAAATCGAGGGATCTCTGGCTTGTTGCACTTGTAGACTGTCAACGCTCCTATTTGAATAACAAATCGCGAGCTCTCAACGTCCAGATCGCATGCAACACGAGTTGGAAGTTCCTTGGCCTCGGTTCGCCGGAGATCTCGCCACCGGCGAGGTTTCACCGTCGGGATTAGGTAGGGAAAGGTGGAGGGAAGATGCAGGAGCTCTCACACAAAATCTCAGAGGCTGGGGAAGTCTCTCGAGAAAGTAAGAGCAAAAAGATCCTTTTCCAACCCTAAATTTTCCCTAGTTAAAGCTCTAATCAATGCACCGACGGTTGGGATTGAATCATGATCAAATTAGGAAGGAAATAGGTCGATTTTGGCCATGGAATTGAATTCAAAATGAAGGGGCATTGATTAGGTCATTAAATAGGCTCTTAAATCCACTTAATTGGGTGATTAAGGCCTATTTAGAGCCATGGTTGACCAAGTCCACGTTTGACTTGGTCAAACCTATATGCTTTGGTTGCTAATATATTAGCCACTTATCAATGATCCAAATGCCTTCCAAATTAAATATTTCATATCACTTACACTTCGTTTGAGACGGCTTTTTAAGTACTGCATCTTAAAATAGCTTTTTAGTAGAAAATTTTTAATTTTTCAACTAGAAAGCAACTTTAAGAAGCAGTGATAAAGCCTCCCAAATGAAGCCTTAGACTGATTTGAATTTTTTTAATCTCTTGTTCTTCTCGGCTTTCTGGATGGAAATGTACGTATGATGAAGCTAATATGAGTTCTGATAAGCTTGTTCGCCAATAAAGCATAGTTAAGAGTTCTTATTTATCGATATGAGCTCTCGTAAAAGAACTTGTCAATGTTACCCTCCTACAATTAGGAACTCGTCCTAACAAGCCAAGTGGATATTGTAAGTCATACTTGCTAGCTACATAGAGTCCACTTTTATACTCTTCCTATGATTTTGTTGTATAACTTGTTATATGTTGTTGACCTTGGCCCTCATATATTAATAATGATTGGTCAAAGATGAAGATGGTTTAATCCTATATTTTAGGCCAAATTTTCATCCATTGAAAACTCTTTAGATTCTTTGATAGATTATCTCTCTTAGGCCCCTCTTTAGATCACTTTCACCCATCTTTTTATGACCAAGTGGCCAAATCATATCCACTATAAAAGTTAATAATTTAAGAGAAAATTTGAACCATAAACTCTCTTGCATGGGTTAAATCCATTTCTATAGTATGGTTAATCGGAGTGCTTTCCATAAACAACATTGAGGCTTCATTTGGGATGACTTTCTTAATACTTCTTAAAGCAACATACTACAATTCCTCTGACCATCGTCGCCAGCTGACTATGGTCCCTCTGATCACCGTTGCCTACCGACTATGGTCTCTCTAACCACTGTCGCCCTCCGAATATGGTCCCTCCGCATTATTGCCCGCATACTACAGTCCCTCTACCTCTCGTCGCCCATCGACTACTGTCCCTCCAACCCCTGTTGTCCGTCGACTATGGTCCCTCTAACCACTATTGCCTGTCAACTATGGTCCATCCGACCACCGTTGCCAGCCCATTAATGTCCCTCCGACCAACATCGTCATCTAACTATCGTTGTCCACCAACTACGATCACTCTGACCATCATCACCTGTCAATTACAGTCCCTCCAACCATCGTCGCTTGACTACAGACCTTCTGACCTCCGTTGCCCATTGACTACAGCGCCTTCGACCATCATCACCCAACTACGATCCCTCGAACCTACAACGCCTTATTACGATCATAACAACTAAATAAACAACGCAACATTATCTTAAGAATAGCTCTCAACCCCAACTATATAATATGCTATATATGATGTACATTAAGCTAACACCTTCACCAAAAAATTGATATTATTTGTAATCAACAACAACCATTAGTGGATTCATTTCAATTATATCAGGCCCCATGATTTTTCTCCCTTTTTAGGGATTTCCATGTAAATATTATAATATCTCTTATGACTTTTACACACATCTCTCTTTATTTGTATATGTGCTTGATATTCTTTCAAAGCTAAGATATTAAGCTCTTTATCTCTCTACCTATATGTTCCAGGACACAATGATAATCAAATTGAACATCTCAATGAGATCAATCCAACTAACAAAAGACCACATAATTCTAGCATTATTAGCAGATTTAAATATTGAAATAAAATATGATCAAAGAAATTATTATGGGCCACCTCATAGAGTGTTTAAATTTTTTGCTATATTTATGGTATCTGTTGCTTTCAAAATTTATAAGTAGACTTCAACTCTTTACATGGAGACTCATGACGTGTGATTCAAGAGAACTTAGAGGTTTAAAGAATCTCAGAACTCTACTCGAGCACCACTATTGTTGTACTGCCGTTGTAAAATAGCCTTTGCCCAAATGCTGCCATTTAACAAGTGCTTGGCTACCTCTGTTAGGCCATCACCCAACATCCATCATTGGAGCACCACTAGAGTATTGTTGTTGAACCACTACCTGATCACCACCATTAAGCCATCATCTAACTTTTGTCAGTCGATTACTACAATTCTATCATTAATATTAGACCTTCTTCACTCGCAATTATTGATGAACAACAACCACTCATCTTCATCAAACTACTAGTGTTGTTTGGCCACCATCGTTCGATCACCACCTAACTACCATTATCGAACTATTGATAATTTGACATTATCGTACCACCATCATCAGAATGTTGGACCTAATCAACATCACCAAACCACTACTGCTACAAAATGGTTATATTTAAGCAATATAAGCAAAAAAGTAGCTAGAGAGCCGTGAATCACGATCAAGCTCATTGTGGCTTTGGAGTCTCTCATCACAGAATAATTTGGCCTCATGAGAAGTTATTCTGTGCGGACGCCCAATATAGTTTACCATCTGGAGACCAACTAGAATGCATCACCCCTTACTCGGTACCTGACTCGGTATTGCTAACGTGGCACGTTCTGATTGGTCTTCGGACAATAAACTACTTTCGACGTCAGCACAAAATAATTTGTCCACATCATCTAGCGAGTTCACATTATTTTCGTTCTTGTTATTCGTCAATTTTGAATCGAATTGACGTCTTGAATTGATTTATACAATATTTAAATGAACAAGCAAAATTAGCAACTTCCTAAACAAATAAATCTTTTATCATCAAATTTCCTAAACTCAAATAACCCTAAAAAAAACGTCGAGCTTCTCCTCTTGATCGTTATTATTATTATTTTACCGCTATGATCTTAATAGCTATTCAAATTCGGTTAATACATAAATAAAATAGTATTGAGTAATGAGTAATGAATGCGTTCAAATTCCATGGATGTCTGCTTTGATTACGCTAGATCCATCATGCATAATGCTTCGGCAGCTGGATACCACATACATTGGGAAAATTGATACCAAGCATGACCACGTTTTTTAATTTCTCGCAGGCCTGTTTTGCAACGTAATTGGGAAAGGTTTTGCATTATGTCTTAAGAGATGTTGGATGAATGTAGCCTAAATAAGATAATATATATTTTTGGGTTTGAAATAAAATGAATATAAATTAAATTTAAAGATGGTGGCAGACAGCTGGTAGAGGCGGCTGACGGCTGGTGGTGGTCGGCGATGGTGGTTGACGGAGGATGGTGTCGGTGGTTGTCGGCGATGGTGGCGGCTAGTAGCGGTGGAGCCTGGCGGGGGCGACCAATGGCGAGTGGAAATAGTCAAGTAAGTTTGCTTGTAGTGTAAACAGTTCCCACTCAAAACTACCAAAGTTTAGTTTATCTAAAAAATTAACAAAAATGCAAGGTTATGAAAATCGGACCTGACAACAAACCGAAGAGGAGAGTTCACGTGTTCGACCGGTCGAACGGGTTGAACCCGGATGACGTAACAAATTATAAATTATTATAAAAATAATAAAAATTAAACCAATAATGAAATATTAATAACCATATACTTTAATTATAAATTATTGTTAATTTATTATTACATATTTAGATATAAACATATAATATAAATAAGAAAAAAACTCACAATAAAATAATTTTTTACTAATATATATTAAAAATATATAATGTTAAAAATAGAAAAAATTAAAAAATATATTAACTAAAAAAGTTAAAATTTCTATAAAAAATTAAAAAAATCCACACTATTTATCAATATATAAAAATAAATGATAAAAATAAAAGATAAAAAATACAACAAAAATAAATATTATCATATTAAAAATAATTAAAAAAACTATTTAAAAAAAGATGTTTTGCTGTTGTATAGTGATAATAGAAACCAATATATTTTTCTTGTATGGTTTAGTCCCAATCATTTGTGATGTTTCGCTTTGCCCATAGTTATATAGTTTTTTTTTTTTTTTTCTCATTATAGGAGCTTATAATGGAGCCTGTGAAGCCAATATGAGAAGTTTTAAGTATAATTTAATCATATTCTTTAATAATTTATTAAGATTTTAATATATAATATTTATATTAATATTAATTAAATTTATTTATATTTTTAAAAAAAATTTTGTACCGGTCGTTGAGAAAATCCGAGGACGTGCGAAACCAGCGGGTACCCCGGTTCTTAAGCGATCCGACCGGCCATTAGACCGGTTCACAGTTGAACCGGTCGGACCGGCTGGTCCGGTCCGATTTGCAAAACGTGGTAAAAATGGTTACACTAAAATTATTTTGCTTTACTTTTTTATTTTTTTAAAATCAAATATCAATATTTTCTATACCATTGCATTTGAAATATTCTACACCCATTTTATTTCTAATCAAACAACCCCTTAAAGGTGATATGTAAATAAGAATAGATAATTAAAATTTATGTGTTCTATAATTATCAGTGATATGAGTTATGGGTGGAAGTAAACTATGCAACGAACAAAAAACAAGAAATAGAAAGCGGCAGAAATAAGTGGATACTAGGATTTAACGTGAAAAACCTGAAATAGGGAAAAAAATCACGGAGCCAGACGACACAAAAAATTAACTATAAAAATTGAGAGAAATTTGTACAAATCTCTCTTCTCTCTTGCTCTTTATTTACTTTTCTTCACTTATACCGCTCTCATGCACAAAATAAAAGAGAAAGTCAAGTTATTAACCCCAAGAAAAACGAGAAAGAAATTTGTGCAGTCCGCCACTAAGCATTGTGATGCTAAGCTCTTTGTCAATTCTCCCAGCAAACTTTGCAGCATCGGGGAGCTCAGGAACACAACGTTGTGGCACTCGGGTTTACAACGACAGGAAGTTTGGGTACACAACATCGAGGCATTGTAATTTTGTTTTTTTTTTTTGCAAGACACCCAAACCCAAGCAAGGGAATTGAAGGACCTTAGGCACCCTCCAATGAGTATGATAAATTGAATTGAGGTAAAAAATAATAGCAATTGATCGACACAATCAGATTCCACACGGCTAACTTGAACTATCTGATCAGCATATGTGGAATTTATTATTATATAAGAAATATTTGAAACAAATGGTTTAATTTGTTCGGCGCTGTTATCGTTATAAGTATTTGTAAATTTTTTTTAGATTAACTTATTTCATTATATACTATATTTATATATTTGATATTTATTTTTATATACTTATTCATATATATGATATATAAATTTTTGTATCACATTAAAATACCGCTTGTTCGTCTGCTTGTCTCACTTGCTTTTTCACACTTTTCAATGCTTTAAAGTCTACTTTTACCCTCTCTCCTTACATCATCCCTTCAATTCTCTCTTAGGATACTTGTTTTCACCGCGGCACTCATTTACGAATTTTTATTGCCTCCGGCAAAGAATATCGAGCATACTGAGTGTGTACTGAGCATCTGTATCGAGCACGGTACCAAGTACTTTAGTGACGTGGCGTTTTGTTATTGTCTTCCGAATGCATTCGGTAACCTGAGGGAATAATCACTCCTCATTTACCCTGTTGCATGGCTTCCACTTCTCAACTTCATCGATTTTAAAAAACTGTGTGGTTCGGTTTGATAAAGGAAATGCAGATTCCATTACTCCTAATGATCACAAATCCCTTTCAGCTTAACAGAAGTTGTAGCTCCACTACTCCAGTTCTCTGCCACAGCTGCAATTAGCATATCAACACCATTCATTTGTAACTGTATGTCTTGATTACTGCTCACCATTAGATGTTTTTTGGTAGCTCTCATGAAGAGGGGCGGAACTAGTCTTAATTTTATAGGGGACAAACTTATAAGTAACTGTTGATGTAGCCTAGAATTTGGTTGGACCATTCATTACAAGAAAATGGATCAATAGTGACACCTATTTGTTCATATCATAGATCGCCTTACGCTTTGCAAGTATATCGCCCCTAACGTAGCGACTCCTAACGGGGTTCGACCTGGGGCAATTGTCTAAAGACCATAATATTTTAAATGAATAAATAAAATGATGAATTCTATTTACCTACTTGCAGGGTTAAGTGCATAAAATACATTATTATAAAGACTAAAATAGCACGTCACCCAACGCATTATTTATTGGGTGATGTGGGGTGTTCTAATTGACCTCAGGATGCATCCGTACACTTATATTTACTGTGAGGTATGATAAAATTCTTTCTTCATATCTTGTCCAGTAATCTTCTCTGTTATTCTCTCGTATAGATGTTTTAGTTCTGTGTATGCTTGTATTTTACAAATACCAAGTTCAGTTGTATGTGCTGAACTTTCTTCAATAATAAATCTGGATGAAGAAATCAGTCATAATCTAGCCAATATCCTTAAGATTATATAGTGTGCTACATGGGCTTAAGAGTTGCTTGTTTCTTCTTCGTTAAGTCATATGATAGAAGAATTTTTAAGATCATCGTCCCCTTAGCCCCCTCTAGGAGTGTAAATATATGGGTTAAGTCAGGTTTAGGCTTTTATCGAGCTCAACTCGTTAGTTGGAAAGCGAGCTCGAATTCGAGCTTGTCTCACTGTAAACAAGCTCGACCAGGCTCGCGAGCCGGCTTGCAAGCCATGAGCCGGAATTTTTAAATTAAGGTAGGATTTTTTAAACTTAAGCTGAATTTTTAAAACTTAGTCAAAATGTATAAGAAAATATGAAATGTTTAATATTTAAATAAAACTTAGATGATTTTTTATTAATTTTTTTAATATTTAGATTTAATAAATAACATAAAATTATTTTAAAATATTAATATTTATTCGAGCCGGCTCGCAAGCTCACGAACCGAGCCGGCTCAACCTCAAACTCGAGCTCGTTTACTAAACGAGCTCGAACTCGAACTCGAGCTCGACTCGTGAGCTCGATAAACTTAACTCGCGAGCTCATAAACGGTCGAGCTCGAGCTGGCACGTGAGCCGGCTCGACTCACTTACACCTCTAGCCCCCTTTAAGGGGACAAATAAGTTTTAGCATCTCACATCCTCAATCAAAAGAGAAATTATTATGTGCAGAATTCGAACGGAATTTTAAATCCAAATTATGAATGTACATATTATATACACACTGCATACAATAGGATGATGATGAATAAAAATCAACACAAGACATTTAACAAACGCACCCCAGTTTATCAATAAATAACCATTTATTCTTGACATGAATACAATTTTTTTTATTAAGAACAAGTATTAAAATTTGAAAAACGTTTTTTACTGTGTCAAATAAATAACATATTAATCCAAAGAATGAGATAAATTACAAATGAACCATAAAATCTTCTCATCATTATACCAAAGTGGAACATGAAGCCGTTGACGGGTCAAAGATGGCCGGGAGCAGGTACGTCCTCCCATGAGCTCCATTCGCATTGTAGCTGGCACCAGAGGCGGGGTCCACCAACAGCTCGCCGGCGTATCCAGGATACGCTCCCTTTCCATATATTCCCGGGCACGCCGTCGCCGCCTCAAGCGGCGAGTTCGCCGGGCCCATGAAGAAGCCGCCGCCGAACGGATTAGTAACGGCGCCGGCAACCATGCTGGCTAGATTCATCACCATGCCGTCAATGCCGACGTCTCCGTTAGGCGCGATCAACGGCGGAGCCTGCGGGCCATACAGCGGCTGGTGAAAGGGCCACGCGCACTGACCTGGGCATTGAGCCGCCGCGTTGCCCACCCAAATGTATACGAACCGGCCGGTCTTCGAACGGGGAGACGCAGCGTGGGTTCCGCAACGGCTCATGCAGAAGCCTTCGACCGCCACGTCGGCAGCAGTCAGCACGATATTAATTGCTCTCCGCCGTTGCCCCCTCGCCGCCAGCGCCGCCAGGTCCGCGTTCTTCAGGGATTTTCCCTTCGAGCACTCCATGTCAAGGATCTGATCACCGAAGGAGAGCCGAGGCAGCGGGGAATTGGAGCGGGAGTAGAAGTTCTCTGTCATTTTCCACCAGGAGGAGACGGAAGGAGTCTTCTGCTGTTGCTTATGATTGCGGTCAGTGAGAGAGGCGACGAAGTCAGAGAGGATGGCTCTCTGGGCGGCGCTGAAGTTACCGTACCAGATGAGGTTGACGGATATGGGACCGGAGAGGAGGGCGCCTTTGTGGTAAGTGATAGTGAGCGGCTGCTTTTCCTCCGCCGCGGTGAGGCGACTGGAGGCGAGACAGGCCTGTAAGAGAAGTAAGGAGAGCAGGAAAAAGAACAGAAGAGAAGAATGCTTGAAATAACTCATATCTGATCAAACAGCAAGAGAAAGAAGAGGCCTTTTCTGACAGAGGAAGAAAAATGGGAAAAAAGCTAGCTTTGTTGATGTGGTGGTGGGAAAACAGGGATAAATGGTAGCCTTATATACTGTGAAGCCATGGAGAGAGCTTGGTATACGTTGCTTTATTATTAAATATGAGGGAAGGCGCCAGCCGTATGGTGGGCCTTTGGTTAGTCAATCGGTCAAGCAAAAAACCATGTACATTTCCCGGCAGCTTCAGCCATGAGAAGATTTTATTATGTTTCCATGAATGCCCCGGCATCTAAAACGAGCAAAATCAGATGATAGTTTAAGACATAGGGGCTAAATGGGAATCATCTTTTATGCGCTGAGCGGCAAGGGAACTCTACGAAGGCACCGCAGAAGGACAGCCTGGATTTATTTATTTTCAATAAATAACGATGTAAGGACTTTTTGGGGCGGGCTCGCGCCAGCTGTGAAGGCGTCTGGATCATTAGACCGCGTGGAGTTATTATACGGCGCGGGAGAAGTTGGCGACGAAGCCGTGCATTCCGTGAGGGAGGGGACCAAGCCGGGCGCCTCAAGAATCCGATGTTGTTCTATTGGCAGTGGCGGGCATGGAGTGAGATCTCATTGTTGTAGCTCCTTTTGATATCATATATGGCAAGGTTTGATTTATATATCGTGAGAAGAAGTCATGCAAGAAATTATTCTGTGCGGACATCACATGATTAGGAGATCAATTAGAATGCGTCACGTCATTCGGTAAACAGTAGTATCGACTATCGAGCAAAAAAATGACATAACGCGTTCTGGTTGGTCTTCGGACGTCCGATGTCCGCACAAAATAATTTTTCCAAAATGTGAAATCGATCATAAAAACTCAGGAAATTATAATTTTTTTTATATATATTTTTATTTGTTGTGTTGAGTTCGAATAGTTAAGTTCTTTTCAGGTCAAGTTGAGGCTAATATGTTTAATTTTTATGCGTTTCATATTGGTTTGGACCCATTTAGATTGAGGATTTCAATTTATTTTAATAAGCCTATCAGATTCAGGTTGGTTGATTTGTGTTTTGTCATTTTATGATTAGATTCCCTCCAACTAAAAACACCTCCATTGTCAAGGATTTAGAAATAAGATTTCTTCATTACAATTTACAATTACACTCTTATTCATTTATTAAAATAGGATGTGCTTATAATTCCTTCCATTGTTCCCTTTGATAAATATCAAGAAAAATTCGATGAAGCACTTGTTATGTTTAGAAAAGATAAAATAACAAATTTGATCCAACATAATGAGATGATTAATCCAAAAACAGTACATTTATATTAGAGCACCAATCTCAATGCAAAGTCAGCCTTCAAGTTGGTAAAAAATATTGAGAAGATAATTAGCTAAATAAAATTATAAATAATATCCAAAAAAAAAAAAACAGAGAAGGCATTTCCCCTAAAATCACGCTAGTAATGTAATTAAGCTCATCCGACTATGATTTAACTATTATAACTTAAGCTAATTATTCTTTATAAAATAAAATAAATAATTGTCACAAAAAAAATATTGTTGTAGTATAGCAGCCGCCCTACTAGAGTACTAAGGAAAGAAAATTCCATTATTAATACTTGCTGTGCGTACAATTAAGTTATTTAATTAAATAATTATGAGCATTTCAAGTTGACAGGAAGCATTAGTTGTGCTAATATTAAAAATTAATAGCATTTTGCTAAAACAGCTTCAGCCAGCTGATCTTTTGCTAGCTCGCTTGGTTATTGCTACGTATGCATGAATTCTTAATTTAATAATTAAACTGTAATAATTAATAAATAAATTAAAGATCTATTTGCGATAGTTGTCTAACTATTTTAATTTTCAGATATCAATCACAATTTTATTTGAATATTTTTTCTTGCAGCAAGATTTTTTACTATTTTAAAAGAAATTCTTAGTGAAAAACAGATTTCTAGCACCATAATAACTAAGACTTAGGCTTCGTTTGGGACGGCTTTTTTATTGTTTTATAAAATGGAGTTTTAGTACAAATATTTTTATTTTTGTACTAAAACTCCGTTTTAAAAAGCAATAAAGCTCTGTTTGGAACTATTTTTTTACTGTTTCTTAAAGCAACTTACTAGTAAAAAAAAATTAATTTTTACTCAAACAAAGCCTCAATTTGGAACAGCATTTTTATTGCTTTATAAAGTAAATTTTTAGTATAAAATTTTCTTAAACAAAAAAATATTTGCACTAAAACGCTACTTTAAAAGAAATAAGAAAGCTGTATCAAATGAACCTATTTTATTTTCTCTATAACAACTTCTCAATCAACTTAATAAAATGTTATAGCTGTTCCAAACAGATCATAATAGATCCTTATTTTTATGAAAGTTATAAATAATATAATCGAAATAATGCATAAATCCATCGATCCTTTCTTAGTAAATTATAATAAAACTCATTTTAGGTGTGGAGTTATACCTACTTAATAAAAGGAGCTCTTAAAACTTAAAAGGCGGAAATTATGAATAATTCTGAATAAATAAAATAGATGGTGTGAATTTCCATCAAAAGTATACTTTTCTCCTAATTATATAATCTCTATAATAACATATCCTCAGCCAACATTTCTCCTAATTGTAATCTCTACATGAACGAGCTGTTCATTGACCTCTTGCAACGAAGAAGATTAGGCAGTGGGATTCTGTCAAGCAGCACGGTGCTGGGTGGGTGTATCTGCTAATTAGTAATTAATTAAGCTAATGGTATCCAGAATAAAAAGCTTATTAATCAGCTTTTATTGGCTGCCAAATCGGTTGACAAATGATACTTATATAGTCATTCATAGACAGCCGATAATTATTATTTTTTTTTTTTGGGAGTAATTAGCAAGACATGATAAAGCATAGGAATGTAAATATGTTGGGAAGTAAATCACGAACCAGGCAAACAAGAAAGAAAAATGGAGAAGAACAAATTGGATTTAAAGGGGAAAAAAATTACGGAGTCATACCACATTAAGAAATTCATTATAAAACTGAGAATAAACTGCATAGATCTTTATACTCTCACTCTCTTCCATCTTCTCCTAACTTGGATACAAAAGTATTTTACTCGTTACACACACATTTAATTAGATACATCTCTTAAAAGAAAGAGAAAATAGACTCAATTAACTTGCAGCATCACTTGCGCCTCGGTGTTGACTCATCTATCTCAAAACAAGTTCACAGCGTGTGGCGCTATGAACACAGTGCCTCGACGCTAAGCTCTCTATCTCAGAGGAGATCCATAGTGCTTTGGCACTAGATTTACAGCGTTGCAGTGTTGTATGTTCAAATTTTTTTTCTTTTCAATGTTGTACACATTTGAAGGGATAGCTTGTTATCCCCAGGGAGTTCCAACTTGTCGAGCTTGACCGACATAACTGAGGTATGATTCTATCATGCAACTCGATTGATCAAAACACAATCAAACTCCACGAAGAACTAACAAAATGAGTTGAGTTCTTGCTTAATCAAGCCATACTTATTTATTTTATACTCAGCTTGAGCTTTACTCATTTTTTGAGCTCGAGTTCTTATTTTAAATATGAAGAACAAATAATAATTTTGGCTAAAATAAATAATGATGCGTCGATTGATGTTAATTGAGCTGATTTGACAAAGCCTCAAGCTGAGCTGAGCTAGCCTAGTTCTAGCTCGAGTTGGTATAAAATATATGAACTCAAATTTAAATTTGATCTCGAACTCATAACTTGATAAGCTCGACTCGCAACCTCGTTGTTGATTTGATTTTCAGCCTGCTCACGATATGAGTTGTCTCACTTACATCCTTAATAAAGCGCATGCTATTCTAGATTAATATTATTTATTTTCCTTATAATTATTAAGAGAAACTTTAAATGATCTTTAGTATTTTGTAGTGACCGAGTGGTGTTATAGGTGTCTTTTTTCTATTCAATTATATCAATATAAAACATTGTAAAAACTTTAATTTAATATAATACTTCTTATTAAAACTTTATCTTCTATTATGTTTGCCTAATTCTATTATAATTCTTGTAATTGTATTCAGCTGTGTTGTACTATGTTATTTAACCAGTGTGAATCGTATTTAAATATTTAATGAGACTTATGCTAACTTGCAATTTAATTATTTTATAATTTTTTCTTATAATATTTTATTTAAATCTTATTCAAATCATATTTGATTAAAATTTAAGAATGCTCAATTGAAATTTTTTTCTTATAATGAATCATTCAAACTTTGATTAAAAATGTTTTCAAATAAGAATGATTTATTTTCAATTAAAATTTGCAAAATATTTGATCATGGCTCGACTTTTTATCTTGTATGATTTCAACTTTGCTTAAATTTTATTTGAATTAAATTTGATCGAATACTCTTCGAATTAAATTTGATCGAATACTCTTCGAATTAAATTTGATCATGACGGACTTGAAAGGGCAGTTTGTGATCTAGAACAAATGTTATATTATTGATAATGTTCGGACTTATTTTCCAAAAAAAAAAAAATATAATTTTTTAATTTCAGACATTATAGAACATATAAGCTCAAATTTATTTTATATTAATAGTATATAATATATACCCATTACTTGCAATTTCTCAAAATTAAGGCTTTTTTATTATATTTGATATGTCCTTCTGACTAGCTTATGTCGTCCACCGACTACAGTCTGTCCGACCAAACAAACACATCAATAGTGATTCTTTGTATTCACATCATGTAATGTACTCTATAAGATGTACATCAAGTTAAGGCCTTCGCCTAAGGAAGAGCCTCATTTGTAATCAACTACAATACTAATGGATTCATTTAAACTGGGCTAGACCACGTGGTTTTTCCCCCTTTTCAAGGGTTTTCCACGTAAAAAACTTGGTGTCTCATAAATGCTACACCCCATCTCTTATCTGATTGCATGCCGGATTTTCGTATAGTGTTAAGACGTTAAATTCTATATTTCTCTACCGCCTCGAATACTCTAGGACGCAACAATATTGTAAAGATGAATTTTCAAAGATTGAAAGTCATCTCATTCACACTCTATCTAATAAATGTTTTTAATATATATACATACA